TGGACCCCCTCTTAGTCAACTGTGGTTTGCTTCCTGGTCCCGGTGGCTTAAAACTCACACCAGGCACGTGTGTGTGTGCACCCAAAATCCTGACAGGAGAATGCAGGAGAAGGGACTACGGTGTGGCTATCCCCCTGAGGGGTGAATTTTTTATTGCAGTGTGTACATCCCCTCTGGGGGGTGATTTCTTGCTTTCTGTCTGTCTGTCTCTCTCTCTCTGGCAAGCACACATGCCCTATAGTAAAAACAAAAAATCAAAAGAAAACAAAACAAAACACCTCTCAAAAAAAAAATTTTTGTATTTACATTTTTCCCCCCTTTCTACAAATCCGTCCTTGTGAAGGAGCCAAGCGTCAGCTCCCGATGGGAGGGACGTTCTCATGGAGGTACTGCAAGGCCAAGTCTGTCCACTTCATTTCCTGCTCTTTGACGGATTCTGTAGTGCCGCCGTTGTCCTGCTCGGGCTCAGGAAGCTCATTCTGAAAAGGCACAACGGACAATCAGAACAGTATATTCTGCATTAACTCCTTCAAAGCCCAGAGCACTGAAGAGTTGAAAACTCTGGGTTCCTAGGAACGTGCAGCATAACTGCTAGGTGTTTTTGAAGGACTGAAATAGATTGAAGAAAGTGTCAGAAGTACCGCTCCAGCACGGGCCGGTGCCTCTGCAGCAGGGAAGGGGGGCCCTGGCTTTGGCGGCTGGGCAGGAGGCGGTGTGGCAGAAGGGCAAAGGGCTGAGGCTTTGGAAGCCAGCCAAGATCCAAGCCCACGACTCCAGGCCACCACTGCAGGCTTACGTGGGCCGGGTACTCACACCCCGGGCCCTTCGTTTCCTTACAGGCAAGTCATGGGACTGCCATAAGGGTTAAACGGGGTCATTCGGACAATGTGTTCAGCACTGTGGGGCATCCGGTCCTCGAAGAAAAGTCTGCTACGATTACGAGTGGCCAGGAACACTGAAAAGAGCCAACGTCAAACCGTTTTTGGAGGAGTCTGCTTTAACAGAATGCCTGGTTTGTTGGAGCATTCCTTAGGCACACACACAGAACGTACGTGGAAACCACCGTGTACTCAGAGGAAGGGAGGGCGGGACACTGAGAACGGAGCCACGGATGGGCTTCCCCGACAGTCAGGCAGTGCCGGATACAACCCCAGAGGACTGGCTGGCCTCCCACCAGCACTCTTCTTAGGTAAGCCATGGGCCGCGTTTAGGGAGCATCTGGAAACACTTCCTTACGTCTTGCATTTAAATCTATTACTATTAAAGCCGGGCGTTACTCCGGAGGTCACTGACGATACGTTTCTTTTCAATGATCTCAATTTATATTTTGTTTGACCATCAAGAGCCACTTACTATTTCCTGCTAGATTCCCATGTTCAGTACATGAATATATTTTTCCTTTTCAAAATTATGTCCAATATGTATTCCAAGATGTTAACTTAAAATATGCACATCTGAATCACGCATCTCGCTCTGTAAACATGTCTGAAATGTAAACATACTTGCATAGATTGAAAAAAAAAAGATCATTTATTGCAAAGGAGTAATATAGTCTTCTTGAAGTTAAAAAGTAAGTTTGGTCCCAATAATTACTTACAGATGAAAAAAAAAATCATGAGTGATTTAATCCGGATGCAGACAATGTTGCTTAACTTCCTCCGTAGTACGCTTTCTATAATCATGGGTCTTTCGTTTCATGACTACGGTCTCTTGCAATGAGTACCAACTTATAAAAGTGAGTATGTGCCTAGACAACAAAGCCGGAAGTATCATAAACCCAACCATCTATGACGGCATCATGCAAAAGTGGCCTCAGCTCTCTGCAAGTACCCCTATCCATTTCCCCAATCCTGGACTGCGACTAGTCGTGACTGCTTTGCAGAGAGAGTGCAGCTGCAGGCCAGGGGGCCAGTTCTTGGCCTAAGCTCCAGGAGGCCCTACAGCTTCCTCTCATCTCGCTCTTGGACCCAGAGACCGAGAAGTCCCGGTTAGCTGGATCATGAGACCATGGCCTAGCTGCCCATCACCCAGCTGACGGCCTGTAACTGCCAGACGTGTGCGATCACCCCAGACCATGCAGACTCCAGCCGGTCAGCTGTCTGACTACACAGCACAAGCTCGCCTGGGAGTGGTCAGCTGAGCTGGCACAGACAGAAGACCTTCCCAGCTGGGCTGCAAAGCCATGAGATAAATAACTGTTGTTTTAAGCCACTTAGGCTTGGGTGATTTGTTACGCAGCAAAAGCTAACAGATACACACTTTGATCAGGCCCTGCTCCTTTGCCCAGACCAATCCCACAGCTCCCTTGTTGGTCTCGCTTGCCTCTTTCCCCATGTCAGACCCTCTCTAACAAAGCCACTAAACTGACTTTCCACCAGTCAAATCTGAACACGGCAGTCCTGTTTTTACGACTCTTTATTCCTGGATCTTCCAAGGGTGATGTCTAGGAGTGGCATCAAGTACCTCTCTCAGCATCTGGTCCAAGCCCAATGCTTCTGCCTGCTTCCCTGACAAATGCATTCTCTGTCCATACCAAATGTCTCACCACCTCACAAAGCCTTTCAAAATCCTGGCTCTGTATGTATCTGCCCCTGTGCTGCGGTGGCCTTGTTTACCCCCACTAAGCTTTCGGTCTCTCCTTATCATCCAGTTGAAACATCACGTTCTCTGAGCTTTTCTGATGCCTGCCAGGCAATCGGGCCTTTCCTACACTGTGTGGCTTCTCACTCCCTGACTTAGCGTATTTATTGTAATAGTTTCTGTGTGTCGTCTCTCTAGAACCTGCAGGAGAAGGAACCATATCCTGTGTTCACGGAGTCTCACGGCACACAGTAAGTGCCAGAGGAATGCTTCTTGAATGAGTGAAGGAACAAAAGCTTAAAAGACGGGGTCTGGAGCTTTGGACCTAGGTACGAAGTCCAACTTTATCAGCTACTAGCCTTTAGGTAAGTTCTTTCCTCTGATCCTAGTCTTTCCTGGAAAACAAGGATTACACCACTGACCCTGAAGGGTTATTTTAGAGATAAAATACGTCTCCAGCCTCAGTCCATGGTAGTCACTAAATGACGGCTATAATTCTTACGTTCTCTTTTGACTATTTTCCTCAACTTGAACTGAGTGGTAACTGGCCATTTGATATTGCATCACTCACGGGACATATTTCTACCTTATTCTTAAATGACAGTGTGGACGAACAGAGTATTTTATCTCTGTAAACAACAGCAGCAATCTACCTGTAAGTTACATTTTACTAACCCATCTTTTTTTTTTTTTTTTTGCTATAGGGCTTGTGTGCTCAC